TGTGTTGTTTGTTTCCTCTTAGAAGACAGCAAAAAGATATAAATTGTGAGTACACTCTTCAGATGAAGTGGACTGTGCCCACGAAAGCTCACGATACCATCTACATGTTTTGTTAGTCTATAAAGTGCTACCAGACCATTTGTTGTTTTTTTACACCTAAGAGGTGTGTAACTTTCCTTTAGGGTTTGGTAGGTAATTTGTTACATGAACCAAAATGTCATGATCCAAGCAAACAAGTATTAGCGGGCTACAGAAAAAAGTGAACAGTAGCTCTGCTACTGAACTGCTGTGTAACCTTGGGTAAGTCATGTCACCTCCCTCTGTCCTTGTTTTGGCTCTCATCCTTGGTCTATCTTTTCTACAAAAAACTCTCTCTTTCCCAGTGGGTATGTACAACGCCTAGCCCTACGGCCATATCTTTTCTGGTGCCTCTCAGTACTGTAATGCAAACAAATGAATACTATTACTAATATGGAAAAAACAGGGAGAGGAGACTACTTTCTTCAGTTTAAATTGCTGACTTACAGTGGTCAAACAACTTAGTATGAGAACAATGTCTATAGGATCAGTGATCAAAGATGGGCAAAGGATATCTGGGGTCATCTTGATCCATTTGGGGGAGTTCAACATAAAAAAATCCTAACAAAGTCAAAGCAAATGTTCTTTACCTAGAAAAAGTACACTGATCTCTCAAGGGTACTCAGACATGAGCTTGTACAGAGAAGTGAAGAGTGAGGATGAATAGCTCACTGTTTCTTTGCTTTAATCTAAGAAAAACCGGCTGTTGAATACAAAGAGCTTGAATTTTTTAGTAACCTCTTATCATCATGGTACAGGCGTGGACAATAATTTTGATGGGGGGGGGGGCACTCCCAAGATTTTGGAAAGTGGGTGAGGGTCACACTCTTCCATGATATTAATGGAAGAGGTGCATGGTCTGGGATGGAGGTTGAGTGCAGAAGGGAGCATGGGGTAAGAGACTGAGACGTAAGAGGGAGAGTGGAGTCTGGGAAGGGGTTTGGGTGAAGGAGGCAGTTGTGACCTAGGGCAAAGGATTGGGGTGCACGGTTTTGGACTGTGACCTAGGGCAGGAGGGAGTTGTGACCTATGGCAGGGGACTAGGGTATGGGAGTATGGGTTGTGACCTAGGGTAGGAGGGGAGTGTGATCTGGGAAAGAGGATTGGGGTGCCAGATCTGGGACGAGGTATTGGTGTAGGAGGGGGGCAAAGGGTTTGGGTATGTTGAGTAGGAGGGCAGAGAGTTGGGGAAGGGAGGGACTGGGGTGCCAGAGGCAGGTTCTGGCCAGGAGACTTACCAGTCAGCAGTCCAACCTGCCTGTCTGCCTGCCGAGCTAAATTCTTGCAGAACATAAAATGTTTTTCAGCCAGCCTGTCTGCCCTGCACCTGCATGGGCTCAAGGGTCACATGCTTGTGTGAATAACTGAGCTGGAGGGGACGGGGGCATGGTGCTTCATGTGCTGCCCATTATTCAAACAGGCAGCTCCCATTGGCCAGTTTCTGGCCAAAAGCCGGCCAATGGGATTGGGCTACGGGTGGGGACATCACCTGAAGCCTTCCCACTTCTCCTCTGGGATCACAGTTTTGAAAGAGAAACGGCCTGGCAACCGCTTTTCTGAAGAGTGTGCCGAGCTGCGGGGCAAGCAGGCAGCCTGCCTGGGGCTCCCAGCCGCATCTGCGGGCTGGATCCAGTGGCTTGGCGCTTGGCGGAGGGAATCTGACCCTTGGGCCGTATTTTGCCCAGGCCCGTCATAGTATGTGGAAAACTTTTCAACAGGTTTGTAGGGTCAGATTCATCTCTGGTGTAACTCCATTGACTTCCAGGATGAATTTGGCTATTATAGTGACATTGCTAAACACCAATTCACGGCCTGTTGTTTGCGAGGTGTAACTGGCATCCTGAAGTTTTGCATTGGTCATTGAGGCTACCTGGGGAGTAATTTCACTTCGGGAGCCCAGTATTATGCACAATCATATCCATGTACAGAAACTCTTAGTTTACAAGCACTCCTTAGTTCCCGTTTGTTCAAACTCATCTCTGTGTACTGAACTAGCACAAGACCTATCAGCCACTTTTATGTCCCACTTATGCCCTTAAAATTAACTGGGTCTTAAGTGGTGCATAGCTTTTGTGCTGACCCTCTGTACAGGAGCGGATTGCACCCTTTCAAAACAAAGTTCTTTGCAATCAGAAATAAGTGCACAACTACCAGCTACGATGCAATATAGTAGACAAAAGAAGAAGCTCCATAATGGTTCCCAGACCAAGATAATACGTTTCAAGTGCACTTAGTGAAAGGCTTTCTATCAGCATCGTGGTAACGTTTTTTGAACATGCACAAAATGTGTAGGGACCATGTTACCACTGTAGGAAGCCCTACATGAACAGGATTACAGCAGCCTCCCCAGTATTCCACCTCTATTGTATTCTGAATATACTGTCATTATAAATAATCTTCTCCTGAATTTGGAAGGAACATCACATTTAAATGGGAGCAATATGGTAAATTGCTTTGGGGAATCAAAATACAAGCAAGTTAGATCCAATACTTGGTGTCTGAAAGCTAATTAAAATAAGGGAAAAAGAGAAGGTTTTAGGGGAAAAAACATGGGTTGCATTGTAATCTTTCTAGTAAGAGAAGAGGCTATTTCTCAGATCTATTTTGATTTTTTGCTGGTATGGATTATTGCAGCCCCTCCCATCCAAGCCAAATAACCTGTACCGGAAAGCATAGTAATTTTTCCATTTACTTGCTTCAGCCAATTAATTAAATATCCCCAATGGGTTTAGCTGTTTTGGAATGGGAAGTAATAAGCTAATGTTGGCCATACAGGACAGGTCAGTGAGGTGAAGAAGCACAGCGATTAGTGGTCATGAAGACTTGTTTCCCTTTTCTTCATTTATTCCTCCTTTAAAACATGTGCCTTTAATTTTTTTTTCAGTGACTCAACCCAGAGAGTGAACTGTTCAAGGAGCTTTAGAAACATTTCTCATGTGGCAAATCAAGCTAGTTATATGTATGTATGTATGTATGAATGAATGAATGAATGAGCGAACACACACATACACATATATATAGCCTGATTATCCACTTCACTGACACTTATGTAAGTCAGGATTAATTCTATCCAAATCAGTGGATGCTCCCCAGGTGTAAAACTGCTGTGATTGAAAACAGAACATGGCCCATTATATCTAATTAGGCCACTAGATGCAAATAAAAGGTACAGAGGGATGGGTGAAGAGTGATTTTGTCATGTTAACTTACATGGAGACCAATTAAGCACAATGCAGTAGAGTCAATTTGTACAGAGCAATTTGTGAAGAGCACTCGGGACAGAATCTGATATTTCCCTTCTTTCGCACCAGTTCCCATGTCGAGAGTCAGCTCCATATCTCCTGCATATAATGACTCACTGTGTGCAGGGGAGATGGAGCAAATGTTTCATGATGAGCAATCAGCATGAGACATGGAGCCCCTGCAGCAGTGGAACAATTTATAAGAGGTGAGCAAAGAAGATGCAGATGCAGAAGTACAAAAGCCTAGAAGAGGGGCCAGAACAGAATTTTAAACAGTGTGAGCTGAACATAGCTTCTGTTGGGTTCTATATTTCACGATTCCTGGTAGGGCTCTGGGAAGGACAGAGAGATTGGATTTCAAAGGGCTGAAAACAACCTTTTAGCTGCATAGTTTATCATCTATATAGTAACCCAGTGTATGAGTCTGTAACGCTGAAATGCTGGCTGTTCCCTCTGGGCGGCGCTGTTGCCTGAGTCATGTCCTTCGCCTCCCACTGTGGTGCTCTGCTGACTTCTGCACCGCTCAGCTAGGCCACCGCAGGGGAACAAGCGGTGCAAGCGGCTGTTTGGGCCTCGCACTCCCCATGCAGCATGGGTGCTTGCTCCCCCGCGGTGGCCCGCCTGAGTGGTGCAGAAGTCAGCCGAGGGCCACCGCGGGGG